TATATACTATATATATATAGTTAGTAGTTAGTAGTAGTTAGTAGTTAGTATTATATTACTATACTACTACTACTACTATATACTACTACTACTACTATATATATATATATATATATATATAGTAGAGAGAGAGAGAGAGAGAGAGAGAGGGGGGGAAATTATGCTGGTAAAAGGACAAAGAGAAAGAGAGCCCATCATTTTGAAAATTATTTGAGATGTAATAATGTCATAAATTGGGTCAAATGGGTTTATAGGGTTAAAATGTAGCTTCCTTGAAGAACTTAATGCCACTAGATATATTTTTAATCAAAGGGTCTACTGAAAAATGACACACCAAGTACAAAGAATTTTTTCCCTTTTTTATTTTATTTATTCCCTATTTGTTTTTGGTCGGTCCAGCCGCGTCTTACAACGACAAAGGCAGTTGGTGCGACCCAGGCTGAGCACGTTGCCACCCTTAACTTAAGGATATTACATCCCCTAATTTGAGGTCCTATGATAATTTCTTCATTGGATTTTATAACCTGGGAAACCAATTGGAGCTAGTATTGCCACAAATATATATCAAGAGGGAGAGTCTAAAGAATCCGGTCTATGGAAAACATGGACTACAAAGATTAGGATCAAGTGTAGAGCTCATGTAGACTGAACTCACGTCCTGAACAAATCATTTTGGCTAGGCCTGGGCCCCAAATATAGAATAGGGCCCAGACTTGACCAGTGGGCTTGTACGAGGGAATATATGTGGTAGAGTGTATTATATTAGGAATTATATACTACGAGACTTTTTATTCTTCGTACAAAGATGTCATAAATTAATAATTACTCATAGCCATTAGATGTCAAATTGGATGGGTTGGGGTGTGTGTGTTCAAGTTCGAGAAATTATTTTTGAAATTTAAAAATCTAGTCAATCAAAAGCATATAACCACCCGATTTGAAATCTAAAGAACAAAGATGATTGTAACCTCCTTGTGCTCCAAGTAAATGGCCTCTTTGTATTTTTTCCAATATATTATACGGACATGGGACATATTATGATATAGCGTAGTATCACATGTATATGCAGTTGCAATGTATGGTCCAACATGCTAGTATGTTAATATATTTCTTGCTCTTGAGGGGAGTAAACTGTCCATTTACTCCCTATGATAAAAGCCAAATTTAAGTAAAAGAGCATATACTATACACCTACTCTCCAGCCAAAAGACGTGTTTGGGAGAATTGTTTCAATATGAAAATTTGGCACCCATCTAAGAATCAATAAATGATTATTTTTCATAAGATTTTGAGTTTTCTATCACTTAAATTTCACAATAAAAAAAATTAGATAGTTTATGTTCAATAGTCGGAATATATATATATATATATATATATATATATATTAGTAAATCGGTATATATATATATATATTTATATTAGTAAATCAGCTCACCATAAAATCGAAAATATATCATTTTTATTTTAAAAAATCGGATGAAAAAATCAAATAAAAAATACGGATCGGTAAAAATACTTCATATAAAGATATCGTTAATATATCGGATTAGGCTAAAACAATAAGAGTAATTTATAATATTATAAATTTTGAAATTCTAAAAAATAAAAATTATGTCAAAGGCATCAATAAACTAAATCATCTATAAAAACTTTACTGGACTAATATAATTAAGGCAATTAATTTAGATGCTTCGTGACTCTGATGCAATCATCCAATATTAAATATACAATTAACTAGTATATACCAAAAACATATAAATCTACCAATTACATATAAAAATAAATATGTTATATAAATTTATTCATTAAATATTTTAACTATAGTATGATGACAAATATACTATATAAATTTATTCATTAAATACTTAAACATCATACTTATTTAGCAGGTAAAAAAAAATACACGATTTTTATTTTCTCATTACAAGGATTTAACTATAGTATAGTGACCATGGTCACACCATAACTATCGTTAAAGTTTTATGAATTTCTTTAATTACGGTTTAGAGAGAGGAGGAAAAAGAAGGCCGAGAGAGAGAAGGAGGTTGCGGTTTACAGAGAGGAGGAAGAAGGAAGAGACGTAAATAGGGTTGGGCTCATATCCAGGGAGGGTTTATAGAGAGAGAAGAAGGAAGAATGAAGAAGGAAGAGGTCATGGGCTTCACGAACCCTAATGGAAGAGGCCCTAACTTATTTTTAGAAAGAGAAAAGAAAGATGGGATGCTGATTTGGGATAGTTTGAAGAGGGATTTTTTGTCTGATTTTGGATGTTGTTTGAGAGAAATTAGCTATACTGATTTGACAAGAGGCCTTTAACTGATTTTTAGAAAGAGAAATGGAGGAGGGTTTTCCATTTTCTTGGGGAAACAGCAAGCGGAGCTGAAAGATTAGGTTTGGGGACTAATCCTATGTGTACAATTGCTTGCTCCTGTAAGTTTACAATTTACACTATATTGTTTATCTTTGTTATCACATGATCAAAAGCAAAATATTGATTACTTTGTCATATAGTCAAACTCTCTGCTTCTCATTCATCATTAAAATATTATGTTTTGAGCTCTAATTTGTGCCATAAACAGTATTTCCATAAAAACAATTATCACAAATAATCACAGAAATATGCATGCATATGATTTTCTTTACACAATGATTTATTTTACAAAATGATTTGCTATAAACAGTATTTCATTTACACAATGATTTTCCATAATAACAATGAAATCTGCATCTATTTGTTTAATTTTTTTTTTTTAAAAGGGAAAAAAAATTCATAACTTCAAGGCTTTGAAGAACATAGTGGGGATAAAAATTTCTATTTTAGGTTTTTTTTTTTTTAAATAATATTTTTTTTTCAAAAGCATGAATGGAGCAATGGCCGCAATACACAAAACACACACAAAAAAAAAAAATCTTTTAAAAAAAAATTATAGGTGAAAGAAGATGCGATTTTTTGGCCGGATTTAAATCGTATTATGAAAAAAGCGGCGTTTTAAAAGTTTTTAAGAAAAGTACGCGACTTTTTCCCGACCTTTTCAAAAAGTTCGTTTAAAACTGTTTCATAAAAATACCGATTTTTTTTTAAAATTTCCTATTAAACCGGGATTTGCGAACTATGGGTGGGACTGAGTGTAGCGCAACGATGCAGACAAGGAGGCCGGCGAACCAGCCTGTATACTATCCTCCCAAAGGACGAGGGAGCATAGTTTACATATACTTCCAATCAGAAGACCTACTTGGGATTTTTGATTTGAAATTTTGGAAATATTAACTCCACATTAATTCACCATCCCTAATAAGTAAAAAATGTCGATTGATACTATTCATGGAAAAGATAATAAATACCTTACTTATTCAACCAAGAGGCACTTGATACTATTCAGACAATTCATGTAAAAGATAATAAATTCCTTACTTATTCAACCAAGAAATATCAACTCCACATTAATTCAGCATTTTAATCATCGCATCTCGGTGCCATTTATGGAATACGGGTATTGGAATAAACTTGATACTATTCATGGAAAAGATAATAAATTCCTTACTTATTCAACCAAGAAATATCAACTCCACATCAATTCACCATCCCTAATGAAGTAACCAGAAGTCAGTCGATTGATACTCTTCATGGAAAAGATAATAAATGCTTACTTATTCAACCAAGAGGCACTCGATACTATTCATTGTAAAAGATAGTAAATTCCCTACTTGTTCAACCAAGAAATATCAACTCAACATTAATTCAGCATTTTAATAATCGCATCTCAGTGCCATTTCTGGTATACGGGTATTGGAATTAACTTGATGCTATTCATGGAAAAGATAATAAATTCCTTACTTATTCAACCAAGAAATATCAACTCCACATTAATTCACCATTTTAATCGTCGCATCTCAGTGCCATTTCTTGTATAAATAGTGGGTATTGGAATAACCATGTTTTACTCTTTACAACTGCTACAGCCATGTCTGTTCTGTCTCAATCTTCATCATTCTTCTTCCTCGCCATTATCATCGCTTGCCAGTGCTTTTACTTTGTGTTAACAGCGCCTGATGGTGCAAAGGTGTTGAACTTTCCGGGCTTTGATGGGGAACTTCCCTCTAAGCATTATGCAGGGTGGGTAATCATCAAAACTCTCGCTATAAAACTCTTATATTCTAATGTTTTGTGTTTGGCCCTGACATGTATTAGGGGTTATGGATTCTTGTGGACATGTTTTAGGACACATTTGTTCATTAGAAGTCGTGGTTTCCATCACTGTTGCATTCCCACATTTGTTTGCAGAAAGTAGGGCTAGTAATGCCCAATATATCTCGCAATATAATGCCAAGAGGAGCGTTCCACACAGTTAGAGCTTATCAAATTAATGCCCAATTTATTTCGCAATTAGAAAACACACAAGGGATAAAAATTAGGTTTTTTTTTTCAATCTGCATCAGGAATAAAAAAAATAGTTTTACACAAACTGATTGAGAAAATTCAATAAATATAGAAGATAACCCACATAAGCTTATGAAGTTATTAATTTATAAATTTTGTCATGATATTGAGGCCAGAATCCTCCCAACGAAGAAGTCAAAAACATGGAAAAGACCGTTTTCATGGGGCCCAAATCCCTTACCTCTTTTTACTTATCCCAAAAAAATAAAACATGAAAAAGAAGGCCTAAGCTAAATAATATTGCTTTTTAGGATTATATGGTTTTCAATTTTTTTTTTTCGGTACTTATGGAGAGAAGTTTGCCACATATATTACATGCTAATGTTCTTAAGATTACAGGTACATCACTTTAGGTAATGAAGGGAATAGAAGGCACATGTATTACTATTTTGCTACTTCAGAACGCAATCCTTCAAAAGATCCAATTGTATTTTGGACTCATGGTGGTCCTGGATGTTCAGGAATGAATGCCATTGTATACTTTCATGGTTGGTATTTCTAATTTACATTTACTACTCGTAATTTACTCAGAAGAAGCTCACTCTTCATCATGAAGGATTGAGAACCATTTTTTGTTGTTTATTGTGGATTTTCGTTGTAAGAACTCTTTCAACAAATTACTATAGTCTTATGTGCATAATTGAAGGTCAAAATGACATATCACATACAATGGCATGAAGTAGCATGACTAAACTGACTAAACTATTCCATCCCAACACAAAATTCCCATCTACAGCATGGGCAATAGGTTATATATATATCCTTGTGTGTGTTTTAACTAGTAGAACTGGGAGGTGCTTTGCAGGTCCCATTAAAAGGTTCTATAATTGATAGTGGTAGCAACGGTATGAGAAATAATATATTTAATGAGAATATGGCTACATCCGTATTTATGGTATGGAATTAAGTATTAGAAATATGCTTAGAAAATGAGTAAATTCTTTATGCTATTTAAAGATACCAAACTAAATTTAATATAGAATTAACTACATTTAGTATTCATATAATAAACTAAATAAATTTATATAATTGTCATTGTTATAATTCAATATGTACTTAAATTTGTATAATTATTGTTTTGTTATTATAATTCAATAAGTTCATTATTTTATATTTATATCAATAATTAAAATTACTAATATAATACTAACAGTAATGTATTATACAAATATTTTCAGTTTATTGGAATTTTAATTTTTTAATTATCATTTTATTGTTATTATTATAATCCATCAGCATCATCTAATTAAAAGATGATAGTTGTATAACATATACATCGCAATTAGGATTCCACTTATTTGTGCAATTGTTATCATATACATTACAATAATACAATTATATTATTAGTTAATAATATTTATTTCAATCATTATTATTAATTTTTAATAATTGCTAACAATAATAATTATTATAACATAAAAAAAAAATTCATTATAATAATTTAAAGAGTATGAAAGAGCAGCATTAAAAATGTGCACCCTCACAATATGCCTTTCCAAAATTTTCACTTGTAAATAATTAGTGAAGAGTCAGGATTAATATAGAGAGTCACCCAAGATTAATATAGAGTCACTACCTATATAAGGTTGTAACCAAATATATAATTATTAAATAGTTTCTATTAAAAAGATGTACCCATGTTTAAATCATAATTTATTAGTGAAGAGTCGCAATAGATATAAATAATAGGGCATAACCACATAGCAATACGATTTGAATATATGCAATAAATAACACATTAACCACTCATCTCCAAGCATGAATTCTTGGTTAGTATCTCTAGATACGAATTATCGAAAGATAAGGTAATAGCGACATTGCTAGGGACGTGTGGAATGGTAGATAGAGTTAAATTTTCTGTAGACCTTGTTAGGAAAATAAAAAAAGTATGTGGGAACTTAAAGGAAATTCTTGATAAAAACCCAATCTACAGTCTACCACTCACAAAATTAGATTTAAAGAAGAAGAAGAAGATATGTGTTACTAGGAAAGGTTTGTACCCAAGCCGAATTCATGCTTGGTAATTGGACTCTTGGCATGGTAGCACAGCTAGCACTATGCATCCAAAGGTTAATAACTAACGAAAATAGCCCGAGCTTAGTTGGTGAGAGCTTGAAGATTTTGCAACGCTACATCCGAGGCTCAATTCCTATCAAGGGTAGGGGCGCTATCCTGATCACTGACTCACCCAAAAAAAAAAATAATGATGAACTTATTGAGTAACCCCGTAACAGAGCCATGACTTGCCTATTTTGCATAGAAGCTCCAAGAGACCCAGAGAACCCAAGCTCAATCTCATAGTTAGCCTCTCTTTGCATATTCTCTCTGTGCACCTAAAGACTCTATACACCTTGCACAGACTTCCTAAAACAACTATTCATAAAGAGAAACAAATCCTGTAGAAAAAGTCACATGGACTCCTCTATATCTTTCATTACAGGAGGTAAATATAATCCCCATATCCTATCTTTTAATTAGATACAAGGGTACATATCGCCACAAAATAGACAAGAATTTCAAGAAACTTAGGATTTACTCCTCTATAAACTAGGAAACCTAATAGCTATAAGATAGAAACCTAAAATCTTTCATAGGTTAATGCTTTCGAATAGGCATGAATGATTGAATCGGATTATTGTGAAATGTTTATTCATATTAGTGAGCATAAGCATTTTAAAACACATCCATGTGCTGCAACATTGTCTTAAAACCATTGCTTACTTCAGTAATAGTTTCAAATCATTTTGATGTTAATTTGCTTAATAATAAAGAAACATGGAGACTGCTCACAAATTGGTAAAAGCATTTGTTTTCTTCTTCATTCAATAAAAATGGGCTTTGAACATAAATATTAAATTTGAAAATTACTATGGAAATATGATTTCTTTTATATTTATTTGTCAGCTCAATTAGAGCGGAGTTTTTTTATTTGCTTCATGTTTAGAATCTTATTTTACAAACTATAAGTTTATTTTTTTGGTTATAAATCTTGCTAAAAGTGCAGTACTGGTTAGGCATTAAAATCTTATTTCTATTTTATATTCATACAACTTGAGGTCGAGATGCAAGAATATTTAAATGGAAGTCAATGCACTTGATTTCATTGCGATGCTAGAATAAACTAGACTATTGAGTGTCGTTTTCCATGTCAGGTCACCGATAGGATTCATAATTCTTTCAAAGAAATTATGATTTTCCTTTCTAGTTATTGCTCACAAATAATAATGTCGTTGCCCAAAGTAGATGGTTATATCTAATTCATGCTCATGTTTGATGGCATATCAGGGCTACTCTGTAGGCAATGAGCTTACAGATTATGATATATTTTTAGAATCTAAGGTTCCATTTGCTCATCGAATGGGACTCATTTCAGATAAACTATATGAGGATTTAAGAATATCATGTCAAGGGAATTATTGGAATTCCATCCACCCTGATTGTCTGAGGAACATGGAAGCTTTTAAGTAGGTAATATATAATCCCTAAATTTGTATCCCTAAATTTGTATTTGGAGATGAAATTGATCATGATTTAGGGGACTTACCCTTCTATATATTGTGTTGTAGAATACTGGTGGGATAAATGTTGAACATGTTCCCACATTGCCATGTTGATATGGGTATGAGCAGAAGTACTCGCTATGCGGGGGAAAGGTTTCAAATGTATGATGGTTGTGAAGAGAATGGACATGAAGTTGAGTGTGTAGGAACAAATGATGTAGGAGTTTCAGAAAATGCAAATGCATATCATCACATTTGAGAAATCTACTGCAATGTGAGTCATATTTAGATTAAACCTTGATTTTCAATGGAAGCATGGATTAGACTCGTGAGAATGGGGCTTGGCTCATGGTGGTAGCACCACCTAAGCCCCAATTAAAGGTCACAGCGCATTCTCATTAACACTTTCAAAACATTGAATCTTTCCCAAACGGATAGTGGCTTTTAATCCCCAAACATCCACATGAAAAAAGAAAAATATAACAAGTAGACTTGTTTCCTAGATTTATTGATCTTGGTTGCAATTCCTTGAACCATTTTTGGTGGTTTAAGGGAAATCATGGCGTGTTTCTTCGGGGATACCAAATTTATTGTTTTGCCCACCTCAAATACTACTTTGGAGCTAGATAAGGGACCCAAAATATTTCCAAAATACTCTCTCATACAAAACTAAAACTAAGATTCATGTCAAAAATGCATTAGACGCCCCATAAATGCCTCGAATCTTTACAATTTTGAATGAAATTTCAACTATTGGTTCTAATAATGGAATATATTTGAGGAGATTTGGAGGCCAACCAAATTAAACTTAGAATCAACTAATTCTTGAGGAGTCGCAAAATGTTTTAGGTGCATGGCACCCCAATAGTGGTTTTTGCGGTGCCAAGAGCCCATTTATGGTGCCCCTAGTAGAACATATTATTATATCCCTTAACTAAGAGATGAGATGTTTATTGTATAATTTTAAATATGTTTAGAAATATGCTTTAGGTCAAATATATATAAGAAGATGCTAGGGTGAGCCCACTAGCTCACAGAATAGTATAGGCCCAATGGTCCAGATTGAATCTGGGCCGATTTGATGGTCGAGAGTGTTTGAATTTTAATTTTTTTTCTACAAATCCAAATCATTTGAAATTTTAGGAGAATATTTTTTTCATCAAGCCGCACTTAATAAAAACATAAAAAAATAATCTGCAAAATTAAAAATAACCAAAATACCCCCAAAAATTTACAGGTGTATTTTGGTTATTTTTTTCATGTAAAACATTTTTTTTAATATTTTTCGAATATTCACCTAATTTTTATCAACATACGTCTAAAATTTCAAATGATTTAGATTTGTAGAAAAAAAATTAAACATCTGTGATTGTTAGATTGGTCCAGATTCAATCTGGGCTATTGGGCGTATTTTTTCTTGTAAGCCCATTGGCTCACAGAACCCTTTTCCATATATCTATAT